GTTTTATTGTGATAATCGTTTTAATTACATTTTTGTATACTGTTCTTTTATATTTTTGTATACTATGTATTATTATGTATAGGCATCGAATTCTGCCTTTTTTGTAAGCCGCCCTGAGTCCCCCTCCGGGGGTTGAGAAGGGCGGGGTAAAAGTACCAGTAATAAATAAAATAATAAATATCAAGGCAGAAAGCCCCACTTTGAACTTGGTTATCTGAGTCCATACTCAGATAATGTGGGATTTTCTGCCTTAATATTCTGGGATATAGGGCTGTGTGGAAAGCCCCCAGTTTTTCAGATCCTGCTCATTTCAACTTAACACAGATCTGCCTAGGAATTTCTTGCATGCAGGTGTCTCTTCTCCTTATCAACTCCTCTTTGGCTGGTCCTCATTCTTGTATTAAATTTTCTGGGTTTTTTGTTTTTTTTGCCTTTTAATCTCCAATATTTACATTCAAGGATTTCAAGTTTCTAGACTATCTTTACTCACCCTCTTGGTATTTGGAGGTGGGATCTACCCATTTTTTCTTTTTCTGAGCACCCACATTAGAACACAGTTGTTTTCAAGGAATAAAGTACTTATAAAAACAGAAGCAGCTTCATGTAGGAAGAATGAGTTTTCCTCTTCCACAGCACTGCTGCTTTTAAACAAAATGTGAGGTCTGATCATGATTTTTAATGACCATATAATTTATTCAGAGATTTGTTTCTAAGACAAAGCAGCCAGAGAAGTGGAGGGTGTGACTGGGCTAAAAACTAAAGGATGTCGTTCCTGTTTCTCTGCTTGTTTTGCCGTCGGCGACCAGCTGAAATGTATTATTGCCTCAGCCCTCCCTACTCCCAACACTTTTTCCCCCATCTGATGTTATTACAAATAACTGAAATTACAGTGTTTCATAAACTTCTAGATGTTTTGCGCATGAGAGCTGTTACACGAGTAATTCATCACATCCGTGATATAATCATTAATCCCAGATGAATTGCTCTCTTAAGAAATATTTCACAGGTGAGTCAGAAAATGTCGCTGCAGTTGAAAATTTGCAAGTAAAGCAGAAGAGGACTTGCTTTATGAGTTCTGAATTTCTAGCCACATTTACAGGATAAGAAGCAGTTGTATCACCTCACAATAGTGTGACGTTCTGGACTTTTCAGTGGAAAATGTTATTTCATTTATTAGATACAAATTGAACATTCCTTATCCAAAATTCCAATATTCTGGCTGGCTGAGATACTCACACCTTTGCTTTCTCATGACTCAATATATCCAGACTTGGTTTCATGCACAAAATTTAAATTATTTAAATAAAATACTGTTTATAAACATATTTTCAGGCTGTATGTATAATGTATATATGAAACATCTAGACTTGGGCCTCATCTCCAAGATATCTCAGTAGGTAGGTATATTACCTGTAAAGCCCTATATGCTTCAGGTCCAACCTATCTTTGAGACTGCACCTCCTTCTATGAACCGGCATGGGCACTATGATCTACCAGGGAAGCCCTCCTCTCAGTCTCACCTCCATCACAAGTGTGATTGGTGGGGACGAGAGAGAAGGCCTTCTCGGTGGCGCCCCATAACTTTGGAATGCCCTCACGTGAGAGATTAGGCTAGCCCCCACTCTCCAAGCCTTCTGTATACAACTGAAGAACATGGTTATTTCTGCAAGCAAGCCTTTGGCCATGTTTAGAATCTCTTAACATTTGAAGACCTAGAGACTATTACACTGTGCACTTTATGAGGCTGATACTGGTTGCAATTATTTTATACCTGCAGCTATTGTTACATTTTATAGATATTAACCGGGGGTGGGGGGGGGGGGTTGTGATGTTTATGTTGGTTGTTATTCCTTCTGTGGTATTGTCTTTTCACTTTGTATTTTGGTGTTTGCACCTTTGAGTGCTTTGTGAGCTACTCCGAGTCCCTCTGAGAGAAAGTGGCAGGGTATAAATAAAGATGGTGATGATGATGATGATGATGATTCTTCTTCTTCTTCTTCTTCTTCTTATTATTATTATTATTATTATTATTATACAAATCCAAAACATTCTAGTCCCAAGCATTTAAGGTAGGGGATACCCATCCTATGTTAAGATAGCATATATATTAGATATTATAAAGTAAGAATCTATGGAGAGGGGTGACAGAATTATATGTTGGGTGTGATAATTGGTGCAATGTCTGAGATAATTTTAAAAGGCTGTTTTGTATGAGCACAAATTAGGGATCTGAGGTTAGGAGAGCAAGAATCAGAGTTAACTAGGACATATGTGTGTAAGAAAAATGAGAATTTTATTTAAATGTATAAAATAAGTTATTTGTCATGTTATGTTTATTTCTGTTTAATAAATCTTTTTAATTACACGTTTATCCTCTGGGAATGCTTACATTGGAAAGTTCACATCAGGTACATTGTCTGATGACAGAGCATTGATTTGTGATGAGGATGTAATTTCTAAAAGGTCCTCACAATTGATGGCCAGAATAGGGTCCTTGCACTGGAGGCAGAGGTGTGGATAATAGAAAGACTTCACATTAAATGGCAGTAGTTGGGATAAGTAGAAGTCTATCCATGTATTCCAACTGGCACTGTCCTGGCCTCAGAGGATGAGAAGAGGCAGGCACAACTCCATCATGCCTATGCCCAGAATCAGATGAAAAGCCCTCCCTCTATCCCAACTGCCACTGCCTTGTCCTTGGAGTGAGAAAAGAAGTAGTATTTGCTTAATCTCCTCTCTTAGGCCGCCATCTCCTTTTTCTTTTTTACAAGTTTATCCCCAAAGTGACTGCTGTGTATGTGTCTATCTATCTATGAGATAAATCCACCAAAGAATAACATTTCTGTAAATGTGTGAAACACACATGCCCAATATTGTCAGTGTCAAGGTTAATAGGTCATTCTTACACATAGGTCTGTGTCACAATTATGAAAACAACATGCCTTGATCTTTGCAGAAGCAAAATTATTGCTTACTTACCAAAAAAGGGGAAGTTTGCTCTATTGTGAGTCACCACAGGGGCCATCCTGGGAGGAAAGAAAAATATAAATAAGTATAACTAGGGATGCATCAACATTGTAGAATTAATGAAGTTTGATACCACTTCAACTGTTATTTCTCAACTGCATGGATTCATGGAAGTTGTCATTTGGTGAGGCATCAAGACTATTTGGCATAGAGGGCTGAAGACCTTGCAAAACTACAACTCTCACAGCATTGAGCCATGGCCCATGGTAGCTAAAATGGTGTCACTCTGCATAAATTCTGCAGTTTAGACAGTTGATCATTGACGCATGATTAACACACTCAACCTAAGCACATTTATTCAGAAGTAACTTCTAAGGAGTTGGCAGGCACTGACTTCCTGGTGCATATATCAAGTGTGAAGGCATAATTACAACATTGGCTGTATCTTTCAGGCTGGAATGATCCCATAATCCCCTATTTCTCCCCCATGTGGGAACCTAAGGCTTTTTCCATGGCCCCATGGCAATGCCCCTGTAACCCAAACTTTATGAACTTTTTCCAACTTCTATAAATTTTTGGGAACTTTTATCAACTTTTGAGAACTTTTAAGACCTTTAGGAACTTCCATGGACTCTTTGTCAAATCCCTATGAACTCTTATGAACTCCCGGGCCTTAGTTTGAGGACCCCTGACCCAGACTATCAAGTCAGAACATCCCACAGTATCTGTTTTGAACTGGGTTGTCTGAATGCACACTCAGCTAATGTGGGATTTTCTGTCTTGACATTTTGGGATATAGGGCTGTGTGGAAGGGTCCTGAGTGTGGACTCAGACAACTCGGTTCAAAGCAGATATTGTGGGATTTTCTGCCTTGGTAGTCTGGGATATAGGGCTGTGTGGAAGGGCCATCTGTTATCGGAGTCCACACTGCCATATATCCCAGGTCAAAACAGATAACGTAGGGCTTTGTTTAGCTGTGTGGAAGGGGCCCATGTGCCAAGTTATTGCAGCTGATGTATTCCTGGACATTTTTGCTATATCATAATATCTGGTTTTATTTATTTATCGTGTCAGGAGCAACCAGAAAGGAGATTCCATCTGAACATGAGGAAGAACTTCCTGACTGTGAGAGCCGTTCAGCAGTGGAACTCTCTGCCCCGGAGTGTGGTGGAGGCTCCTTCTTTGGAAGCTTTTAAACAGAGGCTGGATGGCCATCTGTCAGGGGTGATTTGAATGCAATATTCCTGCTTCTTGGCAGGGGGTTGACCTGGATGGCCCATGAGGTCTCTTTCAACTCTTTGATTGTATGGGTTGTTGTAGGTTTTTCGGGCTATATGGCCATGGTCTAGAGGCCATATAGCCCGAAAAACCTACAACAACCCAGTGATTCCAGCCATGAAAGCCTTCGACAATTCTTTGATTGTATGATTCTATGATTTGTATTACATATTTAACAAAACAAACTGACAAAAAATATAATATCTGGTGCCGGGATAGAAATAACATGCAAAGGAGAATATTTCTCCTGTAAGAGCAAAATGAAAAAGTTTCAGCAAACTTTTTTGATTCAAAACTAACAATGAGCACACAATGTGAAATGGAATAGCAAAGTAAATCCTGGCATACATAAGAAAACATTTTGAACCCATCAAGTATTTCACATAGGGATACTCAAACCAGTAAATAATCCCTGCCGCACTAAGGGGGCATCTACACTGTGGAGTTAATGCAGTTTGACACCACTTTAATTACAGAATCCTGGGGAGGCACCAGGACTATTTGACAGAGAATGCTGAAGGCTTTATAAAACTACGATTCCAAAGCAATGAGTTAAACTGGTGTCAGACTTCATTGATGCCACTGTCCCTTTAAGAATCACATCCCTTCCTCCTAAACAGAGCAACCCCAGCCAGACTGCGAGCCAAAAAAAGAGACAACACTGACGATGCTCCCATCACATCTTCTCTTGCTCCCTGTGAGTGCCTCCCTCTTGTTTTATACCCGGCGTGACGTCAACGCGCGCCTGCGCCGTGGCTCGCCGAGACCCGGAAGTAGCTGGTGGCGATGGCGGCGGAGGGCATGGGGCAGCAGTGGGTGCTGGTGGAGATGGTCCAGGCCTTCTACGAGGTGAGGGGTGGCCTTAAAGGCGCGGGCGGCCCTTCGCCTTCTTTCCCTCCGAAAGAAAAGAGGCGAGGGCTTCAAGGGGATGAGGGGGCCATTCTCAGGGATTCCTCTCCCCCCATTAATAGGTCTCCTATCAATTTATGGCGGCCTTATGCATCCCATAGGGTTTCCTTAGGCAAGGGATGCTCAGAGCTGGTTTTGACAATGCCTGAAATACATCCAACAGGACTTGTTGTCTCCCTCCCAAGGACTAATCAAGGCTGGCTTGGCTGAACTTCTAAGACTAGGCAGGACGTGGTGTCTTTGGCTTCCTGTGCCTTATAAGGGCCTTTCCACACCACCACACAACCCAGAATATCAAGGCAGAAAATCCCACAATATCTGCTTTGAACTGGGTTATCTGAGTCCACACTGCCTTATATCCCAGTTCATAGCAGATAATGTGAAAATTCATTCAGTTGTGCGGAAAGGACCTTAGTTATATCAAGGCAGGGAGGGAGGGAAATCTCAGAAAGGGGTGAGTTTGAGTTGTGTGGGCGTGCAAGGTGTGTAATCACAACAGTTTCATTTTACACATAAGGAGGTGGTGCCTGGACGTGTGGCTTTGGCAAGTCAGTTTGGCATGTCCCTGTTTGGAGAAACAGGGCAGGAGATAAAGGGATGGATCTTAGCTAAAGTACTTCTGCACTTTGTAGTCATAGCATGGCAGTTTGACTGCCATGGCTCAATGCTATGGGATCCTGAGAGTTGCAGTTTAGTGAGGCACCAGCGCTCCCTTAATTCCATTGCATTAAGACATGGCAGTTAGAGTGGTGACAAACTGCATTGATTCTACATGGTAGATGCACCCTGGGAGACAGATGGGATATGTATTAAATGAATGTTCAGGAGCAAATGTTTATAATAATAATAATGATAATAATAATAAGCAGAGTTGCAGAGAAACAACTGGAAAAGCTGACACAATATGAGGATTTAAAGATCGCATAATAATAATAATAATAATAATAATAATAATAATCTTTATTTAATACCCCGCCACCATCTCCCCAATGGGGACTCGGGGTGGCTTACATGAGGCCAAGCCCAACAGCAAAGACTCTGGCACAAGCCAGTCAAGGTGGTCCCAGTGGTGATCGGCACACTGGGTGCAGTGCCTAAAGACCTTGGCCTGCACTTAAACACAATCAGCGCTGACAAATTACCATCTGCCAGCTGCAGAAGGCCACCTTACTGGGATCTGCAAGCGTTATTCGCCCATACATCACACAGTCCTAGACACTTGGGAAGTGTCGGACGTGTGATCCAATTCAACAGCCAGCAGAGTGTCTGCTGTGGACTCATCCTATTGTGTTTCAAATAATAATAATCATCATCATCATCACTGACTAAATCACAATTTGTCCACTGTAAAAGGCCACCTTACTTGGATCTGCGCGCATCATTCGAAAATACATTGCACAGTCCTAGACACTTGGGAAGTGTTCAACTTGTGATTTTGTGATACAAAATCCAACATAACATATCTGTGTCATACTGTGTTTTGTGTCAGTAAGGTAATAGTATGATAATAAAGCACTTTCACTGTCCTGGTTCAATGCTATTAAACCCTAGGACTTGTAGTTTTACAAGGTTTTTCGCTTTCTCTGCCAAAGAATGCTGGTGCTTTATTAAACTCACAGCTCCAATGTTTCCATAGCACAGAGCGAGCAATTAAAGCAATGTCAAACCTGTATTAACTCTATAATGTAGATCCACCATTAGTTGAAGTTGTGAACTAGCAATTAAGCATATTTCTAAATAAACATATACAGGTTCAGGTTGTCTTCTATAAATCTAGTGAGCCTTTTGTGTGTATGGTGAGCTGTTAAGTAAATCATGGGTTTCATTCTGAACGTGCCACCATGAACCTGGGATTTTAGTGTTTTATATGTCATCTGTATTAGTAAATTAAAAATTTATGGAATAAATCAACAAACCATATCAGGAATACTGGGTTGCTGTGAATTTTCTGGGCTGTATGGCCATGTTCAAGAAGTATTCTCTCCTGACGTTTTGCCCACATCTATGGCAAGCAACCTCTGAGGATGCCTGCCATAGATATAGGCGAAACATCAGGAGAGAATGCTTCTGGAACATAGTCATGCAGCCTGGAAAACTCACCACAACCCAGTGATTCCAGCCATGAAAGCCTTTAACAACAGATTTCGGGAATAGACAATAAAAATACATATAAAATCTTTTGTAGTTCATATTAGTTTCAATACGCTTATATAAGTGTGTTCTCTGCCTCCCCCCCCCCCTATATATACGTTTATAGTTCCAAACTCTTTGACTATTTCTACATTATACTAAGGTGTGTGTGAGATTACATATTTCCTCCTTCCAATTTTTCTCCTCAAAATTCCTTTGATAAGCTAATACTAAACTTCCTGAAAGCAGTTATAGCACAGTCACAGCAGTGTTCTAAGCTGAATCTGAGTTTAGCAAAAATATGAATTTAATGTAAAGATTCTAAAAAGAGATTGCAATCTTAGTAATATTATTAATGTTTAATTATTACTTTTGCTTAACTTCTAGGCTCCAACATACCATCTTATTTTGGAAGGCATTCTGATTCTATGGATAATCAGACTACTTTTTTCAAAAACATACAAACTTCAGGAGAGATCTGACCTCACACCTAAGGTTTGTTGTTTTAAAAAGAACTAATGGCGACTATGTAATTTTTGAAATAAGAGCCTCATCATGATAACTATATGTATTACTCCCATTAGTTTCAGGAAATTCCACAAAATGACACTATGATATGTATATGTGTTATATTATTCTTTATTATAAATAGCTTTGCTATAGGGAAGCCTATGTGAAAAAGATAGCTGGGAGCTGATAATCCTCTTCTAATGCAAAGATTATTACTTTGGACTGTGTATTATATTGCTGTACTAGATCTTACAGTTAACATTTAATTTTTGATTTTTGTGTGTCATAAATACACGGGATGTAATTTGTAATGTGTTAATTCATAGGAAGATTATATTTGTAATATTCTAAATCTGAAATAGGTAGCTCTCACTACCAATATCATGGCAACCATTTTTTACAGCATCTCAGACCACTTTAATTCTTGATAGAGTTCTGCTGTGGTTGCCCTTCAGATTAAATTACTTAATGCTGAAATATAACACTTAATGAAAGTCCAGCTTTTCTTTAAAGGATTTTGGCCCGCTTAATAGCCCAACTTGGTTTATTTGTAAATCCTTGTTCAAGCTACAGACTTGAAGGATTCTGGATCCTGATGTCTCTAAGAATTTAAAGATAGAATAGATCAAGATCACATCTGTTAAAGGTTGGATACCTCAATAGCCTTCCAGGAGATCTCTGAACATTGTTCACAGCCAAACACATTCTGTGAGTTGTATGAGCATTTTTGCCACGTTTTTAAGCCCCCTTGGGCCATTTTGGACTCCAAAGAGTCATTCCTTAACATCAGAAAACCAGTAGAAACTAACTTCTTGTCTTGCTTTAAAAAACTTCTGATCCTGGTGGCTATAAGTGTGCAGTAGATGCTGTTATCTCATCTAGCAGGTATCTATTTGAGTCCACTAGTGACACTAGGAATTCTAATATGAACACTAGTTTTCACTTAACGTTTTAGATAGAACTCTGCTGGAGGCACTTGTGAGACAGTATATTCTTTAACTCACAGATATAACTAGAATATAGTTGATGAATTTCTTTTCTGAGCCTCCAGTCCGATTACTTTTGAACCCTCAGGAATTTCCTGGTGACTACATCATGATTTTTACATTTTGTGAAATGAATAGTAATAGTTACTGCTTTAAAAGTGAAATGAGCCTTGAAGCATGATGTCTTTTAAGATTACAGCAGCATAATAATAATAATAATAATAATAATAATAATAATAATAATATTCATCATCATCATCATCATTCCTTTTATTGCTTTATTTATATCTCCAGATCACCATCTGAGTTTTTGTCAAGGATTGCCCACGTATTTTTGTTTGTCTTCTAATTCAGTAGTTCCCAAGATAGGAAATGACACTTCACATCTCAGATGGAGAACTTATGGCAACTCCCAGCATCTCTCATTATTACCTTACACTGATTTGGAATAATGGTGTTTGTAGCCCAGGAGAATATGGAGGGCCACATGTATATGATCTCTTGTCAAGTTAAAACAAGGCTTTAATTAGTAGGCAGAACTATACAATAAGATTATTGTGCAGCTAAGTTCAGCTTCCTTGTATAACATGTCGTTAGATGTTCTTTTTGTCTCCTAAAGTAGATGATATTCAGGGGATTTTTTAATAAATATGCCTTTAAACACGTTCTTTTTAAAAATAGTCTAATAGTAGTGAACAATGATTTTTTTAAAAAAATACCGTGTGAAGTAGTATGAAACAAAATTTCATACAAACATGTGGATGATGGTCAATATTTTGGTTTATCTCTGTTTTAGGAAAAGGAAGAACTAATTGAAGAATGGCAGCCAGAACCTCTTGTTCCTCCTGTATCAAAAGATCATCCAGCTCTCAACTACAATGTTGTTTCAGGGTAAATCAAAAATAAAGAAATGTCATGTTACAGTTAAGGACCCAGCTCTTATATGAAAGTCAGTCCTGCTAATTTCAAGGGTGCTTGCTTCCTGTTAAATGTAATTAGGATTGCTCTTAATCCTGATCACTTTCAAGGAATACTGTGATTTCTTCTGCAGCACAGGCTGAAATTCTGGCATGCGACTGACTTCAGAAATACTTCAAGTAGGCACAAAAATGTTTGATGAGCTTTTGCATCCTGCTTGATAAATAGTAGAGGCTTGCCTAATTTCGACCTAATTATGAACAGATGTCTCTGCTTATCTAAATTGGTTAATATGAGGGAATTTCAGTGAACACAAAACAAAAACTCCTAATGCTTTCCTAATTCCAGAACAAAGCAAAGTATTTACTAGTGATGAAGTTTTGATATATTCTGCTTTGGACATTTTGCAGCAATTTTTCATTATAAAAAATCAAGAAAAGAGAGCTCCAGGCAATTAGTAGGGCCTAGTGAAAAACCTATTTAAAACCTGTTGAAAGGCAAGCTCTGTTTGATGTTTCAGTTGTGGCTTTTGTCACAAGTTAATTCTATGCTTCCCAGTATATCATTTAAAATTTACATCTTTTCCTTTTTGCTCCCCCTGCAATGAGGATTAATGCTCTTGTATCTGAAGTAATATCGGAAAATGTTGCGTATTGTGCATGTCACCCTGGAATTGGAGCAGTGGGTTAAACCCCTGTGCTGGCAGGACTGAAGACCTACAGATCACAGGTTCTAATCCGGGGAGAGGTGGATGAGCTCGTTCTATCAGCTCCAGCTCCTCATACGGGGACATGAGAGAAGCCTCCCACAAGGATGATAAAAACATCAGATCATCCGGGCGTTCCATGGGCAACATCCTTGCAGACGGCCAATTCTCTCACACCAGGAAGCAACCTGGAGTTTCTCAAGTCACTCCTGACACACAAAAAACCCTATGGAATTAAGTTTTTAGTGGAACGTGGTCCAAATACATGCATGTAAGGCTCTAGCCTTAAACATTAGCTTTTTAGATTGCTTCTTTTTAGATTGCTTCTTTACATTAGCTTTTTAGATTGCCTTTGTAAGCCGCATCGAGTCCTTCGGGAGATGTTAAAGGTAAAGGTAAAAGTAGTCCCCTGACATTAAGTGCAGTCATGTCTGACTCTGGGGTGTAGTGCTCATCTCCATTTCTAAGCTGAAGAGCCAGCGTTGTTCGTAGACACCTCCAAGGTCATGCGGCCAGCATGACTGCATGGAGCGCCGTTACCTTCCCGCCGGAGTGGTACCTATTGATCTACTCACATTTGCATGTTTTCAAACTGCTAGGTTGGCAGAAGCTAGGGCTGACAGCGGAAGCTCACGCCGCTCCCCGGAATCGAACCTGCGACCTTTCGATCAACAAGCTCAGCAGCTCAGTGCTTTAACCCACTGCGCCAAAGAAATCATATTTCCAAGTTCTCCACAAAATCCTGCCTCTGATGTGACTTTTATCACACATTAATTTTTAATATATTGAAACTACAAACTTGTGAGCCACTAAACATCATTTTAGTTATAAACCTAGTTGATTTATATCAGCCTTTTGACTTAATACTATTACTTGGATTTGGCCTTATCAACCATTACTTGTTAAGAAATGAGTTTTTCAGCAATTAACAGATATTTATGAGCTTGGATTCATTCAATACTATTTTGAATGACACTTGACTAAGACTAATTGCAATTTCTGTGTAGTAGACTTTTATTCATACAATATGTTATTATTGTAATGTGCATGGCCACATGTATTTAGGAATCCTGTTTTTTTTTCTCTTCAATAGTTAAATGAAGTGATTAAACAGAAAAAATAAGCATATACTAAGATTTTAAAATGGCATGCATGGGTCTTTCTTCTGAAATATTATATCTTTGCTAACAGGATATAAATGCTATTTAAACTCTACTGACAGAAGAAGTTACTGATTGTTGGTATAGGAATGGGCAGCTGTCATGGATTACAGGGATGTATTGATTCGCCTAGTAGACACTGAAGACTGAACTACCCAGCTCTTCAACACTTAAAAGAATGCAGAAAAGATTACACCATCACAGTGCTCACAAAGATCCCAATATACCTTAAGCCAGTGGTTCTCAACCTGTGGGTCCCCAGATGTTTTGGGCTTCAACTTCCAGAAATCCTAACAGCTGGTAAACTGACTGGGATTTCTGGGAGTTGTAGGCCAAAACACCTGGGGAGCCACAGGTTAAGAACCAGTGCCATAAGCCCTAGACAGTGTTGTCAATATAGAGGGATGATACATGTTTGTGTCTAGAAAACTTCTGTGCCAGGATGTTTTTAGCTGCAAACCATGGCATAATTTGCAATACTAATTGTACTGCACATCAGTAAACATATGCAGAATGCTTGCAGGAAGATATTGTCATTTCCTTTGCATCACAGTTAGGCAACCTGACACCTTTCATGTTATGGGCTACAAGCACCATGGTCCCTCTCTTTGTAAGTTCAATATTTATTTATTTCATGCATTTCTACCCCACCCTTCTCCCCCCGAGATCCTATCACCATATAACAGTCCAAAATACATTAAAAACGTTAAAACAATTCATTGAACAATAGATTAAACATGCCAGTTAAAACCAAATCCAAGTCTGGGTTAATTAAATGTCGCAGGTATCCTAAGTCTTTCCAGTTGCCTCTGTCCACTAATCGAACGCCTGGTCCCAAAGTCAAATCTTCAATTTTCTTCTAAAGGACGGGAGGGAGGTAGCCAACCTGATGTCCCTGGGGAGAGAGTTCCAAAATATCTGGGAAACACTACAGTGCCTACTTCCGTTCTACATATTTAATGTTACTTCATTGGGTTTCTCTCTCTCATATCTTTAAGGCTTAGTTTTTCAAACTGATCCAGCTCTCCTTCCATAAAAGTACAATCTATTCTGCATTTTTTAGGAATCATGCAATAAAACTTGATAACTTTTTAAGCATGCTAAAATTTCCTGACTGGTACATTTAAAAGTTTGTTTACCACATTTTCCGTCTTTGTTATATGTATAATGCGTATGCCCAATGTCTTTTTTATTATGCAACCTTTAGGAAACATTAAAAATACATTATCTAGCTATGTATACACACATGCAGGCACAATGGGCCCTTTGAATAGGCAGTGGTTTAGCTCAAAAACGAATGCCAAAAAGCTGGATGATAATGATTTGTTTTATTAAATGTTAGCAAGGTATATATGGACACTTAAACACATTCATGTCACTGCTATTTTGTGTATAGAACATAACAATCTATGTCTGATGGAAATCATAGATCTGGAGCTTATGGATCCATAGGGCCCATTATACACACACATATACATATACACAAACACATACATGCATATACATTATAGGTTTCCCAAATACTCTAAATACTTTTTAAGAAGTACAAAGACTTCAGCAGTATTGTAGTTACCTTTGAAGTGCAACACCTGCTAGTAATATTAAGGTTGTTTTGTTAAAACTGCTCACTGCCTTTTGTTATCAGAAAAAGAAAGCAATAAATTTAGATGTCAGTTTTTATATGAGGATGAACAGCTTGTGGCCTTCTAGATGGTGTTGCACTCTCATCCTTCACCATTGTGTCATTTTTTAGGACTGATGGGAGTTGCGGTCCAATAACATTCAAAGAAAACTTCTACTGTATCCAAATGATTTGTCCAACCCTCTTGTAAACCAGAAATATTTCCATAGATATTGTCCAGTTTGAGCAGTTATTGCTGTTGCTGCATGCATTTAGCTAGATTGTGCAACTCCAGTGCTGTGTAGAATTGTGTAGGGCACATATCTCAGAATCAAATGTTCTGTATTAAACCAAGCAAAGTTATGTTTAATTTTACTAAATGATGTCCATTTACTAAGAAAAACTATCTTTAATTTTCATCTTTTCAAGGCCTCCAACCCATAAAATTATTGTGAATGGCAAACAGTGCATAAATTTTGCATCGTTTAATTTTCTTGGCCTTTTGGATAATGAAAGGGTCAAGGTAAGTGGCTTCAGAGTGGCTGCTGAAATGTGGGTATTACTTACAATGTGTATTTTGATGTAACCGTGGTTTATCAACTCAGAAATGAACTTTATCCCATAATACTCCCTTTCTGTTATATATCATCTTTGGTCTAACTGTTGTGGTTGTCCAGTATTCCTATTAAAGGTTTCATTCTTGAATGGGTCGGGCCCCCATCCTCTCTTTTCCTGACCCTTTTTCTCTTGCCCTCCTTCTTCCAAAGCAAGTGGTATGACAAGAAGGCATGTTGCTCTTGCTAAAAATCTGAACTAATGGGTTACAGAGAGTTTTTCTGAAATAAGACCGAGAGTTGTAGGTTGTCCATCATTGCTCCCTAATATACTTTTCTGTTTTATCTGAAAAAGGACTACTGTCATTGAATCTAGACCATAATACCATTCAGTTTTCATACTACTGTTTATATTCTGATAAATATTTATGTATTTGATGGAGGCATTAGGCAATCATCCAATAAGATACCAAACCAGGGGTCCTCAAATGTTTTAAACAGGTTTATGGTCCCTCAGGCTGTTGGGAGAGGGGGATTATAGTTTGAAGAAAAAAAAGGAACAAATTCCTGTGCTCATATCTTATTTGTAGTGCAAAAAATATGAAAGAACATGAAGAACAATTTTAACCAATATAAGCTTACCAGTATTTCAGTGGAAAGTGTGGACCTGCTTCTGGCTGATGAGATAGTCAACTTAATTAAGATTGTGCTTGTTGTGTGCCTTCGAGTTGTTTTCAGATTTATGGTGACCCTAAATCTAACGTTTAGGGCAGGGGCTGGGTAAATGACTGTGGCAGGCTGTATCTGGCCCATGGGCCTTAATTTGGACACTCCTTTACTAAACTATGTCTTCAAGATTCTTTATTTGTAGGGCCACTGTGCCTTTAAATTTGTATGTGAATATATTTCTGTAGTATGAAAGTGTCAATACTACAATTGAGGAAAAACTAGAAATTATTGCATTTCTCCTGAAAAGTTAATGTATGTTTCCTTTTGTGCTTCTTTAAAGAACGCGGCCCAGGCATCTCTGGCAAAATATGGGGTTGGTTCTTGTGGCCCTAGAGGATTTTATGGAACTTTTGGTAAGTATGTCATGTGTGTTAGCCAGTGCTGAATGTATATAACTTCACATGAAAACCACTTGCTTTGTTTTTCATCAAGTACCACCAACATGTTTATACCAGGGAGAGAAAATGTGGTGAAATCAAGTGCCAGTATTCACTTCCATGCTATTTCAGAAAATCAGCTGAAAATCAGACAAAATCTATTTCTGATTTGTCCATCTGAGTTTTTTGGCTGAAAAAACATGGTTAAATGTTGTTTCCTTACCAGAAACATATTTTTGATCAGTATCTGTGTGTCTTTTTTACCTAGAGAAAAATAACATTTTTGAGACTTTGTTGTTGATGTGTGACCTCAAGTCATTTTTTACTTATGATGATTCTAAGGTGAATATATTGTGGGATTTTCTTTTGGTAGAATATATACAAAGGAGGTTTGACATTTCCTTCTTCTGAGGCTGAAAGTGTAGGACTTTTCCAAGGTCACCTAGTAGGTTTCCATGGCTAAGCAGGGATTTGAATACTAGTCTCCAGTACCCTAGATCAGAGATACTTTAACATTTCCACTTGCGACCCCTTTCATCTTGAGAAATGTTACATGACCTCAGGTATATAGATATATAACACAGGCACACAAATTGAACATTTACTGATAATAAACCAGCATTTGCAAGACTTGCTAGCTAGCCTGATTTTCCTTTTTATGAAGTACAGCTGAAGCATCTTCTGCAGTGTCCACTGTAAACATTGAATACAGACTTATGTAAATGTTTAAAACAGCCACTGGGTGACATTCAGAAAACTTTTACTGTGTCTAAATTTTCCAGGACCCCATTATGAGCTTTTTTTCCCATATCAGGAGCGACTTAAGCAATTTGAAAAACTGCAAGTCGCTTCTGGTGTGAGATAATTGACTGTCTGCAAGGACGTTACCCAGGGGACGCCCAGATGTTTGATGTTTTACCATACTTCTCTCATGTCCCCGCATGGGGAACTGGAGCTGACAGAGGGAACTCAACCTGCTCTCTCCAGATTCAAACCACTGACCTATTGGTCAGCAGTCCTGCCAGCACAAGGGTTTAACCCATAGTGCCACTGGAGGCTCCACCATTGAGCTAATGGGACCCAATTTGGGGTCAGGACTCACAGTTTAAGAAGCAGCATCCTAGACAACACTCAAACCACTACACTATGCCAGCTCTCCTGTGGGGTTTAGGGGCTGCTAAAAAGAGACGAGGAACAGGCTTCTCTTCACTTTCGCTTTCTGGGCTAGATTGGGAGTGAGGAAGCTCCCACATACCATAGATTGCCACATTTCCTTTACAATCATCTGTCATACACCAACATTGGACCAGGCCAAAGCCACTGTGTGTGTTCATAAGCCTTCATTAAATTATTGGCACTGTACCTCAGTTGATGATCTTAAGAGAGAGTATGTGTATGAAACGGTAATTCCAAATTAAGGTAATTGCACAAACACACCCTACAACCATCCTCCTTTTCACCCTTCTCGAGCCTGATCTCTTGAAACAGTTGCTTCAGGTTCTTGAACCCTTAGGAGTCAGTAGGGTAATCCCAGCAGTCGTCTCAAAACCCAATTTTCTAGGCTGGAGAAATAGGGAATCTTTACAGTTATCTTGATGAAGATTGCTGTTACTATTTTGCTTATTCTTCCAAGAATATAACTTAGGATTCAAACCTCCTCTCACATCTTTACCTTACCCAGTTCATTGACATGGTTATAAAAATGCCATATAGAAAGAACTGGCTGAAGCAAACTAAATATTGGAATTGGCTCAACAATAAGCTGTGTTTTTTTTCCAAAGAGGCCACAAGAGGGCACTGATTTCTGGATGAATCACTTGAAGCTACTTATTTTCCACACTGTAATGCAGATATCACGAAAATGCTGTATCTTTATAGCAATCAAAAGGCTAGAATCCAAGCTTTAAGGCAGGAAGGTTTAGTTGTACAAATTTTTCTATGAAACCTTCAGTCTGTGATTAATCACAGGTTATAATAGCATTTCACATTGCTTTGTTGCCTCCCTCAAATACTGAACGCACCGCAATACATCCAACCTAAACATTTGCCTTATCTTCCTTCTGGTCTGTCTTTCTGGAAGTTCTGGACTTAGTTGGAGTTTGTTTTATTCAATGGATTAAAAATGACTTTCACAGGATTCACAGAATGCCTGGGTTTTACAAGGCAAGACCTGTTATCACTGGTATTTTTGGTGCTATGATTGTATAGCTGACTATATAAAAACTATGTATTTTGTCTATGCCTCCTTATTTTTTCTTAGTAAACTTCCCAACCTTCTTTAATACTGCAAGATAAAGTAATGGCGAAACTCTATCCTTGTTCAGAGTCAACAATGTTTTGTCTAGATCTCCATCTGGATATCAGGCCTGAACTTGAAAAAAACATATGGTTTGTGGTAGAAGTGAATGATTTACAACTGTAGCAATAGATTGGCTACTTTTATGAACATTGTGGGCCATCTCAACTTCTGATGTGCCCTTATTTCTAGGCTAGCATCTACAGTGGACAGAAGTAACATAAAGATGTAAAATATTTCTGAATCATTCTTAAAATGGGTGACAAAATGTATAATTCATAGTGTTAATAATGGAGTTGTGACTCTCTGAAAACTAATGTTCTATTTATAATTGCATGAATTATTTCTCTTAAACAGATGTACATTTAGAATTGGAGGATCGGCTTGCTAAATTTATGAAAACTGAGGAGGCTATCATATATTCCTATGGGTTTGCTACGATTGCCAGTGCTATCCCTGCCTATTCAAAACGAGGAGACATTGTGTTTGTGTATGTATTCTTGATATTCTTGATACTAGAGTAAACTTCTGGTGCAGATATTGCAGAAATTCAGTGACTTCTGTTGCTTCCTTTTCTTCCTTCTCTGTGTTCTCTCACAGACAAACAGTAATAGTTTGAGGGCCAGTTCACTTGCTACTGCACTGAACTGCATTCACGTGAACCACAAAGTATTTTCTAGTAATTTCTGTGACTGCAGTAGCCAAAGAAGATGCTGCTGTGGTTTTAACTGTTTGCTCTTGCAGCAGTTTTTCTGGCTTCAATATTCTATGTGTGTATCTCTTAATCATAAAATATTGGGTAGGAGTGTGTGCTTAATATGAATAGCCTATTCCCCAATCACCAAGCAATGCAAGCCAGAGCTCATCCTGTCCTGTTTGACCACATGTGCTCATAGCCTGTTAAGAGAAAATGCTCTTTGAGCTCATACTGATGAAGTAGGAGTTTGGGATTGCAGCCTTTAGGGAAGCAATTATAAAAGTGTTCTATTATGACCATATATTGATTCAGGTGCACAACATACCTCTCTTCCAAGTGTCACTGTATCCCAAAGTGCATAGAGATACAGGCATATAAACTGTGTATCTTGTAATCTCAATGGGAACCATTACATCAGTTGTATTTATTTATTTATTTTATACTCCATCCTCTCTCACCCCAAAGGGGACTCCGAGCGGCTTATAAGTTATATGTATATACAATATATTATATTATTAACATAGCACAATATTAGTATTATATATTACTATGCTGTACCATACCTCTACAATGCAGAATTGTTAGTTATATTACATGTAATATATTATTATATTATTTTGTATAGTTATTAGTATTATATTGTATTAAATTATATTATGATCAATATTATGTGTACATACAATATATTATATTATTAGTATAGCACAATATTAATATTATATATTACTATATTGTACTATACTACTATAATGCAATATTATTAGTAATATTACATGTAATATATTTCCTTTTCCAGTTACTGAAATCATGTTGCTAGCTACTGGGTTGCAACATCAGTGTGCAACCCAGTTGTCATTGATATTTCTGTGTATGATTCTGTAACTTGGAAGGGATGTTTCTAATCTATGTATTAACTAGTAATGAAAAGATTCTGTTGTCTGTTTTAGCAAGCATGTACTATCAGATTTTTGTCCTGATTTAGAAGCCAATATTAATGATTAAGTGAGAAACTTGGATATATTAACAAGTGCAGAACTGCCTTAAAAGACCTTGGGGAAAGGTGGGAATTTAACAATTGCACAATTTTCACTAGGAATTTCAATTAGACGTAACTTAAGATTGCTTATTTGATCTTGTCATTTTCAACGGTGTATCTTGATAACATTTTAAGTGCTTGTTCAAGTACCATTTTATGCACTTACGAAATGCTTTTAACATGACTTTGACCATCAATTGCTGATTCAAAATAAACTCTTTAAAATTACTAACAGCTGTTCAAATGCTTTGACAGTGTCTCCATAAGTTACAGCCAAGCAAAGAGATGAAATTGACAAAAGCAGTTAAAAGGAATTTGCCTACAGTTAAACAAAAATCTCATCTAGAGCAGTCTGGCTGAGCTCTTTATGCTTGGACCAGTTGGTACAACCTCAAACTTTTGTATGCCGATTAGAAATAAGCCAGAATGAGGCTAATAATACATACTGCCAAGTATGTGTGGATGGATAACAGCTAAGGCTAAGAAGAGGGTGGGATCCATGTAATATATTGATAAAGTGATTGGATAGGAATTATTGACCATGACTCATTCATCCTTCTGTACACTCAGAATTTCAATCCTACCTTCGTTTTGTTTCAAATTTAAAACCTTTAAGACAACAAAATATAAATTAATTCCAAAACAACCAATAAAAAAACAACAGAGCAGGTTTATAGCTACAGTTAGAAGATTACAAAAATGACAGCAGCAATCAGAAATCTGGGTAGTTACATAAAAAAAGGAATGACTTGGCAGTTCTTCAAAAGGCTAGCAGCAATTTAGCCAGAATAACTTTTCCATGAAGGATATTATGCTATCTCAGCACTGTTACAGAATATATTATTTCCTTCCTGCCCACACAGGATATTTCAGACACTGGAATAGACATGGAGTAAAGCCTAAAACCGGTCCGTGATATCGCTACACAGCTATAGTTAACTGGCAGCATCTTGTAGAATCCCGGAGTTGGTACTTCAGTAGGAAGAATTAGAACTTTTTGGCTGATAATTCTATATATCCCTTCCTAAACTGTAGATCCCGTGATTTGATTGGATGTTTCTGCTTCAGTTTGAATGAAGCCATAACACTATAATTGTGTAGTGTCAAAAGGTCCCAGAACATGAATGATCAAGGGACAGTATGGATTCCAAGGAAAGAAAATATCTGCAGTAGTAAACATAGTAAAATGCAGTTTTTTCAAATAATACTACATAGACACCCAGAACCCAGGATAGATGTAGTAGCATTCACAAAGTGTCAACCTAACTTTATAAGAGAACACCTCCCTGCCCAAATAGACTGAATACTTCCCAGTTTGTCAGTACTACAAATACTACCTCTCTCATGTCTTGATCAAGCTCCAGTCCAGTGGTTCTCAACCTGGGGTTCCCAGATGTTTTTGGCCTACAACTCCCAGAAATCCCAGCCAGTTTATCAGCTGTTAGGATTTCTGAGAGTTGAAGGCCAAAAACATCTGGGGACCCCAGGTTGAGAACCACTGCCCTAGATGTTTTGTGCTTCAACTCCCAGAAATCCTAACAGCTGGTAAACTGGTTGGGATTTCTGGGAGTTGTGGGTCAAAATACCTGGGGACCCACAGGTTGAGAACAACTGTAATGAAGCAAGTTGTTCATTACTATTATTATAACAGTCCCCGTACAGGATATGAACAAGATAGGTTCCGTGGGTTTGTTCTGCAGCTGAATTTGTGTGCAAGTTGATAGAGGTACATTTTAAGTGTAAATCCAGCAATTGTCGAAGGCTTTCATGGCTGGAATTACTAGGTTCTTGTGACCTCACTACCTCTGAGGATGCTTGCCATAGATGCAGGCGAAACGTCAGGAGAAATGCCTCTAGAACAGTGGTTCTCAACCTGGGGTCCCCAGATGTTTTTGGCCTTCAATTCCCAGAAATCCTAACAGCTGGTAAACTGGCTGGGATTTCTGGGAGTTGTAGGCCAAAAACATCTGGGGACCCCAGGTTGAGAACCACTGCTCTAGAACATGGCACTATAGCCCGAAAAAACCCACAAGAACCTAATCCAGCAATTATTTATTTGTTTTGGATAGCACAGGGAAGGGTTAACACCCCTGTAATGTTTTGCTGCCTGTGCCCCTGTTCAGATTTCACCTCACTTTCTATCTCTGATAATTGGATTTTGAAAAAATTGGCTTGGTGTGAAAACAAGGATTGGTGATCAAACTTCAGTGGAAACACCCTTTCCCCATAATACAGGAGTGAATTTCCCTTCCTAGAGGTAGATTTCCTTGTGCTCCCTGTTGTCCTGTCCCCATTGTAATTAGGAGTTGTATGTAAGTTGCATGTTGGTAACTGAGACTACTTGTACTGGCTTTATTCAGAAGTAATGCTCAAAGATTTTCTCATAATTTGATTCATCCCCTGGCTCATATACATTCCAACCTCCCTCCTTCTGTAAAGTTTTGATCAACTATGGGGGAGAGAACTATGGTTGGTGTTAAATTATTGCATAAAACAGATCTCTTCAAACCATGGTTTATAAACAGTTGGCTTGTTTGAATAAATCATAGTTAACTGGAATCAGGATTTTGACACAACTAAATTATAATTAATGAAATAAATTGAAATAAAAGTTTCTTTCTTATTATGGCAATACCAGAAAAGGAATGCAACAACACAAGGCTCATTAATTTGATGATGAACCATAGTTTATTGTTGCACCCAGATGTAGTTTTGCTTGTCCATGTGTTTGTAGTTGAGGTGTGATTGTTTGCATTGACAAAACTCTTTAGAGCAGCTGCGTATTAAGGTTCATTGTGGAAAAAAGATCAGCTTCAAAGGAGCAGCTTAAATTAAGAATCCACTGACAGAACTCCGTTTGTTTACAGTGATGAATCAGTCTGCTTCGCTATTCAAAAAGGCTTACAGGCATCCAGAAGTAACATTAAGTTTTTTAAACATAATGATATGGCTGATCTTGAACATCTACTAAAAGAACAAGAGATAGAAGATCAAAAGGTACAGTTCCTTTTTTAAAAGCTAGTTTGTAATAGACTGGGGGTTTTGATTTGTTTCTGTTTTTTAAAAAGGAGTGTATTTTAATAGCTTCATTGCTCATTATTTCTCTTCTGAGCTATTTTGTAAATTGAATGTTGAAATAGATTTCACTGCTGTGTTTCATTACTCTGGCCATAATGTTTAGGAGCCAGCAGTAAAATATCATTATAGATGTATTTCGTCATTTTTTGTATAAGTTTAATCAGTCTTAGAAATAAAATACATGCAATCAAAAACTTTATTATCACAGATACAGTTCAATGCAAAAACCTCAGTTCCTTCATTTTCTAGAAAAGTGAGATGATGATGATGATGATGATGATGATGATGATGATGATAATAATAATAATAACAACAACAACAACAACAACTTTATTTATATTCCACCCTATCTCCCCAAAGGGACTCAGGGCAGATTCCAGTCACAAAAAGCCAAACATTCAATGCCTGAATAAAACAACCAATACACACATAATAGCAAAATATAATAACCCAACATATAAAAACAAATTATAAATTAACATTTAGAATTAAGATAAAACATAACCTATCAAATACATTATATCAACATAGAACAAAGCATAAAACAGACTTTTGTATAGTATCTGCATTGACAGAATCTGTATTGAATTCTTTAAGCTGGTAATAACAGGAGCAAATTACTGCTAAGAAGCATTCATATAAAACTTTGTCTACAGAATCCTCGAAAAGCCCGAGTAACACGAAGATTTATTGTGGTTGAAGGTTTGTTCTTTAATACTGGAGATATTTGTCTCCTTCCAGAATTGGTGAGTAGAGACAGTTCTTATTTTATGTATCAATACTGCCATATTATGAATGAAGAGCTCTGTTCCTGACTTGTTGCAAAAAAAAAAAATACATTGTTGGATAATATTCTGCATCTTCCTTAATGAAGTATTTCCCTACTTTTGATTTTTTTTAAAGAAAAATATCAGTGCTGTAAAGTCATGACTGAAAACATTTTAACTACATACATACATGACTACAATAGCATGTCATTCTTCTAAACTGCATGAGCAGAGTGTTTTCAATATTGCTGCACACCTGATGGCAGCAACATTGGTTTTAAACAGTCATGATAGGATAATTCTGGGAGATAGTTCAGTGGGTCACCCAGCCAGTCTGACAGAAGCTTTACATATTCAGTGTAAATATATCCTGGTTTGTGAGTGGTCACCATAATCTGGCAGTCTGTGCATGGTTCCTTTTCCTGAGCTTTCTTAATTCATTTCAAAATTAAATATATCCGCAGGTGAAGTTAAAATACAAATACAAAGTGAGAATATTTTTGGAAGAAAGTCTTTCCTTTGGAGTGTTGGGAGAACACGGGCGAGGAGTTACGGAACATTTTGGAATAAATGTAAGTGACTCTTTCCCAGTAAAAGAATAGATTATTGTGCAAAGGCATGTGGAGAAAGCAAATTCTGGTATACACTGTTTTGTTAATAGTAGCAACTTTTGCAGCCATTCAAACGGACATATAAAATGTGCATATAGTTCTTCATGGATAATCCCATAATTGCTGGCTTTTCTTAGAAATGGCAACTATAAATGGTAACAAAATTGTAAAGCAGGGGTGGGAAATCAGGCACTGAATCTGCCCCCCTGAGTTTTTAATTTGGACCTCCCAGGTAGCCACAGTACTATTGTTTGGTGGTTTTCCTGCTTTCTTTTTGGTATTTTCCCATTATGAAACACTGAAATATTTGTTCCAAGGCTTAGTTGCTAGCACAGGGAGGGGTGCCCTTATCCCCTAACCTTGGATTCCTTCTACATGGTTTCACTTACCTGCTTTCCAAAAAATATTGTCTTCTGAAAGTATGTGTGGACCTCTAGGGCCTCCAACCTAGTAAAGGTAAAAGTTTCCCCTTGACATTAAGTCTAGTCATGTCTGTCTCTTGGGGGGGGGGGGGGGTGCTCGTCTCCATTTCTAAGCTGGAGAGCCAGCATTGTCCATAGATGTCTCCAAGGTCATGTGGCCAGCATGACTGCATGGAGCAAAACATGTGAGTAGATCAATAGGCAGGAAGGTAAGAACTTCCAACTTACATATCATCAAAATATAGAGTTTGCTATCATCCATGGCTTCAAGAATCCAAGGAAATGTTGGAATGTACATGATACAAGTATCATGCGGTGTGTTGACTTTGTCGTCTCTTGCTTTGTCAGTTACATTACTGGAATATGGCCCCTGATAACTTCCCCAAAGTTGAATTTGGTGCTTGCACTAAAAACAGTTTTCCACCTTTGATGTAAAGCATGTTTGCTTAAGTGACATGTTGCAATGTATCATGTTGCTTTTCTGTCAATTGGCTAGGCAGTCTACAAGTTTGTCAGTAATCTGATTTTTCTGTGACATAGATGTGGGGAAATGTTAATATAAGAATATACTTAATACCATTCAGAGGAACATTTGAAATAAATGTCATGTTACAGCTATAGTCCTTGACTTGAAAGACTGAAGGGCAGTTGGAACAACACTTATTGAGATGTCGAGGGTTAACACTGAAAGGAAATGTTGACACACTCTTTTGCATGGAAGAAAAGTGCTTTACATCTTTCTTTCTTGAATCTTAGGTACTAGTTTGCTCCTTCATAATTATTTTGTGAAACTCATCTATAATACAATCAGACTTGGGTGAAAAACCAAACTAAATTATTTCAGAGTAGTGTGGAGAACAGCATCAAATAAAGTTCCTTCTTTTTTATATTTATGACTAGAAAGAAGATACATTAAATGAAGTGATGATTATTTCTAGCAATGTTGACTTGCATCTTCTCTTAACCTACTGTTCTCATATGTAATTCACTAGATCAAAGGTTCATAGCTATTTTTAAAATTGCAATAATCTGAATACTATAGAAGCCAGCTCTTCCTTTCTTACAGCTGTACGGATGGTTGCCAAACATACAATGTCTAACTCATAGCTGGTTTTTTTGTACAATAGATGGATGATATTGATCTTATAAGTGCAAATATGGAAAATGCTCTGGCATCTATTGGAGGATTTTGCTGTGGGCGATCTTTTGTTGTTGACCATCAGGTACGAGTAGAATCCTAAAATGAAAGATATTTCCTTGTTGTGGAGTTAGATTCCAGTAATAAGCTGTGACCAACAGAGATAAGGGAATATATCGTGTGACTCCTAATATTGTTGACAATTGAACACATGTGCTGTTCATTTTGTCAGCTGAGAACTGCTTGGCTCAGAAGATGCTCTCAAGAGGTTAGAGCCTCAACATTTGTTACTTGGTGGGATGGTTGGAGAATTGGAGGTTTCACTGGACACAGAATATCTTTAAGCATTTTGCCCCATTATAACTGAATTTCCTGGAATCTGTACAGAAGAAGCAGTGGCAGCACCAAAGCTCATGCCACTACTATAAATCCAAAGAAATGTGAGTCTGAAATGATTTCTATTGTATTCCTTAGTGGGTAGAATCCTGATGCAGCAGGCCATTACATGTAGAGGCATTGCCAAGGTGAACATAGAAACATATTGTCTCCCAGCTTGCAAAGGGTCCTATGGCAATGAACAAATAAAAACAATTATAACAAAACAAATATTAAAATGTTTTAAATCACATTAAAATTAGATCTTGGGACTGGACAAACCAAATATTTACAAATGCTTTTATCTTTGTGTTGTTTATATTCGCTTTTTTAAAAAAAAAACCTAATTGCTGACATTACAAGAGATAGTGACATATTTTCTCCCATGTCATTGTCTTTCCATCTAGAGACTCTCGGGTCAGGGTTACTGCTTTTCAGCCTCTTTGCCTCCTCTATTAGCTGCTGCTGCCATTGAGGGCCTCAATATCATGGAAGAAAATCCAGGTATCTTTCTCCAAAATTTTATTTGCATGCATTTCAACAATACAAAACTTCTTGAAATGAATTCAAATCTGTGTCTTGTCATTGATACACTGCATAAATTCTGCAAAATATTGCAGTGGCAGTTAACATTTTTGACACACTTGAATTTCCAAGAATTGCCTAATTTCTTCTGAAAAGAGGCATTCATACTGTAGCAAAACTTGCAAATAGTACCAATTTACTGAGTATGGCAAAATCCCAAAAAATATTCACTCCTTCTCCCTACTCCTCTCCCCATCTCCACTCCTGCCTACCAGGACACCTTAGATGCCATTGGCCATCATCCCACCCCAAGCCTCAGCCTGAATTTAAGGTTGTTTTGGGGAGCCAAAGAAGTGAATGGGAGAAGAGACAGGTTATCAGGGAAAGGCTTTGACTTCAGATTGAGGCTTATGGTGGAATGATGGGCAATGGAGTATGGGGAAGGAAGAGATGAAGAAAGGAAGGCACTTAAAATCTGGATGTGAGGGACTGGAGTTCTTGGCAGGATTGCGGTGGAGAGGTGGAACAGCAGAAGGATTGAGGCAGGGAGGTCAGGCTAGTTCAGCGAAAGTGAAACCCACAAATTTGGAGGGCCAACTGAATTTGAATTTAATTATGTTGTTTATTATGTCAATCTTAACTTTTTGTTGTCCCTTTTTATTTGACAAGCTGCCTTGAATCCCATTTTATATAAATAAACTGACTGATATCTTGAAAAAGTACCGTGAATATGGAAAGGGTGGAAAACTGAGTAAATAATTAGGGGTAGGATCATCATTTCACTCAATCAATTCTCTTCACACATGCACACACACCCGCCTTTACAGTGCTCAGTATGCTGATAAGGTGTTGCATAATTACCTTATGACGTGTGAAGTTCTAACCCCAAGACTAGACCAAAATAGATTCTTAAATTGCTCACAATTTACATACTAAAACTGAGACCCAAATTATTTGTTTTTCCCTAGGCATTTTTCAAGTTTTACAACAAAAATGTAAGCAAATACATAAAGCTTTGCAAGGGTAAGTGTTCTTTTTTATTACTGAAATCTTAACTATGAAAATGTAATGCCTCCTAAAGATTACAGTTGTGCAAACATTTGAATAAGATCTACTAAGATATGGCCTCTTAAAAAAACTAGTGTGATGGTAGGCTGCATCAATAGGAGTACAGTGTTTACATCGAAGAAAGTAAAAGTCCTGGTGGTTTATAACTGCACTAATGCCAGTTGGCCTGAACTGGTTTTGCCTCTGGTGGACAGCATGTTTAAATCCAGAAAAAAGTTTTAATAGGTTCTAATTTTCTATTGTGCTATTGTTATGTTTTTATTTTTGCCTTGATTTTGTATTGTATTTTATTTTCTGTTATGTTTTGGTATTATCGTTTATGTATTATGTTTTATTTCTGTATTTTGTACTGTATTTTACCCTTCGTAAGCTGCCCCAAGTCCTGTTTGGAGAGGGGACAGAATATAAGTAAATTGTTGTTGTTGTTTTGTTATTATAAACAAAACAACACTCTGTTTTGCTCTATTCTGCACCTGGAATACTGTATCTAGTTCTGGGCACCACAGTTAAAGAAGGATAATAGTAAATTGGAATGAGTCTAGAGAATAGTGATCAAAATGGTTTGTAAACCATGTCCTATGAGGAATGGCTTAGAGAGCTGGGTGTGTTTAGCCTGGAGAACAGAAGGTAAGGGGTGGTCTTGGTAAATATTTGAAAGGAAGTCCTATTGAGAAAAGAGACAGCTTATTTTCTGCTGCTCCAAAGAGATTCTACCTAAACATTAGGAATATCCTCCTGATAGTAAGAGCTGTTCAGCTATGAAATATGCTGCCTTGGAATGTGATGGAGTCTCCATCTTTGGAGGTTTTTATACGAAGAGGTTGGATGGCCATCTGTTGGGAGTACTTTGTTTGTATATTCCTCCATAGCAGAGGGTTGGACTAGTTGGTCCTTGGAGTCTCTTCCATCACTATGATTCTAGGATTACAGTGAATATTTTAAGCAACAGTGTTTATTCTTAAATTCTATGGATTCTGTCATTCATTTTTCTCCAGGGATATATATTTTATCTATATGTTTAATACTATTTTTAGTCTTAAACCCTAATCCTCTTTTAAAATAAATATCATCTAGCATTTCTTTCCATTGTGAATAGATGACACATATTTCTAAGATGCTGTTTGCCAATGTTAAGTAGCCTTTGCAGTATGCTTGGCATACAGACAAGACCAGCCCCTCTCTTCTGACACAAGCATTAACTGACCTTTTGTTTGAAAGAGTTATGTCTGGCTCTTGGCTTTGCTTATTGTTAGATATGTAACTCAAGTGATGGTTTATTTTAAGTAACAGACAAAGAGAAGCTAGATAACCCTTGGGATTTGTACAGAGCCACTAGAAAGTCACAATTTATTTATTATAAAACATTGTTTGGGCAAAACCTGCAAACATCAAAGCTTTGAATTGTCATGGGTTCCAAGGAGTTCCGGACTACCCAACTACTTCCTTTGCACTATTATCTTTTTTTTTCTAAAACAGACTGTGCAAATTATATATTTGAATTTATGTCTGCCAAAATTTAACGTGCAACATTAGCATCATGCTTCTTCTTTATACGACCTAAACCCTGATTTCATATAAAGAAAAACATTTAGTGATTGTTTAATAAACACCTTTTATGATGAGTTGAGAAGCTTATGCTCATTACATGCTTATATTAAAATCTTAATGAATTGTTGATTAGACATAGAATTGCTTGAATGGTTTGGCTTGTAACTAGATAGTAGTTTCCTTTATAGCATTACCCAAATTTCATTAAATGCCTTTCAGAACAAATTCTTACAGTACTGGGAACTTGAATCAATGTACTTTCCAAGCTTAGACTTGATTGGCTAGTTTGTTCCAGCTGTTTAATACTAGATTAAAAGAAGTGGTTCATTACATGCAGTCAGTGTTGTAACAAAATAAACCCTGGGTTGCTGTGAGTATGGCCTTGTTCTGGAAGCATTCTCTCCCAACGTTTCGCCCACATCCATGGCACGCATCCTCAGAGGTTGTGAGGTCCGTGGCATGTCCAGTGTGGGAGAAAGAACTCTTGTCTGTTGGAGGCAAGTGTAAATGTTGCAATTGGCCACCTTGATTAACATTTAATGGCCTTGTAGCTTCAAAGCCTGGCTGGTTGCTGCCTGGGAAATCCTTTGTTGGGAGGTGTTAGCTTACCCTGATTGATTCTTGTCTGGAATTCCCCTGTTTCTTGAGTGTTGCTCTTTATTTAATGTCCTGATTTTAGAGGTTTTTTAAAATAGTGGTAGTCAGATTTTGTTCATTTTTATGGTTTCCTCTTTTCTGTTGAAATTGTCCACATGCTTGTGGATTTGAATGGCTTCTCTGTGTAGTTTGACACTGTCGTTGTTAGAGTGGTCCAACATAGAGTGGGCCAAAATTAATTCTAACTTTCCAAATGTTGCATTTTTGTTCATTTACTAAATACATGATTACTGATTTTGGGGTATGTGTTTTGTATAGGATCCCTGGACTGCGACTGGTGGGACAGTCGCTTTCTCCTGCATTGCATCTCCAGTTGGAGGAAAGCACTGGAATTCGAGAGGGCGATATGAGGTTACTGAAGGAGATTGTAGACTACGTAAGATTACTTTTTGAAAATGCTAGTTTCCTAACCATTTGAAAAAGCTCTGTTCTCCTTGAACTGTTGTAACTACTGGGGTTAAATGACATTTGAAAAGTAGCCGAGGGACACAACAGTTAAATATGATTGATTGCTTTTTAACGAGGCATCTCAAAGGCAATGGAAAATCCTAAGTGTGAGCGCAAGAGGAACACAACCCAGATGCTCAAAACTGCTGTGTGATAATAGCATGCTCCCTAGACAACATTGCTTCAAAACACAACTGTCCAACCGCAGACTGAATTGATCCTGAGGGGAGATGTTGTTTAGGGGTGATAGTATTAAAGGAGAAGGGAGGAAGCCTGAGGTACTTGCCTCTAAGATGAGATTTCACTTGTCAGTGATTTGGATTTGAAATTTGAAGAAACACTGTCCCGGTACTGGTTGTACTGTATGATTTTTCTGAAGATCAAAATTGTGGATTCAAACATGCCAAATTCCACAGTTTGAAATCACCCTGTACAGTGGAGGGGCTGTTGTGCCAGTAGTGTTAGGTTTTATAGTTAAAATTTCCATTAGTTCTCCTCCATGAAGAACTACTGCATACTACTAGAGAATTTAATTCTCTTAATTAACTACTTTGGTCCTAAGTACTCAATATTAACTAAATTAGTAAGAGGGAAATATCAATCATTACTAAAAATGGTAAGGATAAAATGTGAGTGGATTTTAATCTGAAAAACAATTTGTTTAGTCTTTCACATAGTATGAAATGGTTCTTTTCTCTCTTCCTGTATTTTATATCAAAATAGACTAACATAGTTCTGTGTTTGAAACTAGTAATTTTCAGTTTACAATAAAGGATCTGTTTTAGCACTATTCCCTGTTCATCTTTTAGATTTATTATTATTTACAGTATTTATATATTACTTTTCTCACCCCTGGGGGACTTAAAGCGGTTTACACAGAAATAGTGGCAAAATTGAATGCCTTACAAACGTACACCAAATTACAATCAACACCATTACAAAGTATAAAATCAATGGGACAATTCATCACAAGATACAAAAATTGAAATATAAGAATTAAAATACCTAATAAAAACATTAAAAACACGTGATCTGAGTATGTAGACCTGGCCATTCCCAATGTCGACTGCACATATTCCATATTTGCTTCTTGTACTTACTTCACTGGTCAAAAGCTTGGTTTCATAACCATGTCTTTGTTTTCTTTCTAAAGACCAGGAGGGAGGGCGCTGATCTAATCTCACTGGGGAGAGAGTTCCAGAGCTGAGGAGCCACCGCTGAGAAGGCCCTGTCTCTCGTCCCCACGAACTGCACTTGGGAAGCAGGCGGGACCGAGAGCAGGGCCTCCCCAGAAGATCTTAACTTCTTTGATGGTTCATAGAGGGAGATACATTCGGACATGTTGATATCTGAATCACATTTTGGTTTCTGTATGCCCTCTCTGTAGCTTCTGTTTTTAAGCTTTATTATCCTGCTTTTCTCCCATGGGTGGGACACAAAACAGCGAACAAATGGTGAAAAACAAAAACATGATACAGAAACACAATAACATCCCTCCAACCCAAACATATAAACCAACACATTGCATAAACACATTACATAAACTATATAAAATAAGCATAAAAAGAACAACATTTATCATTAAAAATCCCTGGGCCTCAGACCACTGAGGTTGTCCTAAAAACGTTTACTAAAAAGTCTTGAAGCTCCAAATCTTTGGCCATGTGAGCCTTGTCTGACTGAGATAGCCTGCTTATTGTGGGTTGTGGGGGAAGGCCTGCTTCCATAAAAAGATTTTAACCTGGAAAAGAAAGAACAATAATAAGGGGTCTGAATGCACCTCTGTGGGGAGAGAGTTCCAGAGCCATGGGGCCACCACCGAGATGGCACTCACTCATTCCCACCAACTATACTTGTGAAGGTAGTGGGACAGAGAGAAGGGCATCTCCTGATGATTTCAGGGCTCATGCAGGCTGATAGGAGGTCCCTCAAGTTAGCAAGCTTGGCAAGGTCATGATTGCAGTAAACTACAAGCTCTCAGTTCAAGCAATGTTTTGCTAAGGAAAAGCAGGGATGTGACTTGTTAAAAAGTGTGGCCTATTGGAGAGATTTAACATTAAATGCACAAGCCTCATGTTTATGGGCTCATGCTGCCCTTCTCCTTCTGATGCAGTTTCAATTAGAGGATTGAAAACTAGGATTATTCAATATATTCAGAAGTTGACCTGTTTCAGTAGGAGAATGGGTCTTAACCCCTTGGCCCTCCAGAGATTTTGAATAGGAACTTCCAGAAGCCCTAAACACGGGCAATGATAAGAGATTCTGGGAATTGAAGTTCAGACCATCAGAGAGCTTACAGTTGCTGACATCTGCAGTAGAGTGTGGTTATGTCAGGCATGAGCAAGCTCTCTGTGTGTTTTGGACTTCAACTCCTAGAAATTCCAGCCAGCTTATCAGCTCTTAGGAATTGTGGGAGTTGAAGTCCAAAACACCTGGAAGGCAAAGGTTTGCCCATGCCTGGGTTAACTGAAACCAGTTTTCTCTGAGCTCAAATATTATCAGAAACCATAATTAGTGGCAAGTAGAAGCAGAGGAGAGTGAAGAGATGAACCGAAGCTGTTACACTATGATTTAGCATTGGGTGCAAATCGAGTCAATGGTTTGACTTATTTTGAAGAAAGGAATAATGAGCACTGGTGAAGGAAGAATAAAAGCTGGCAAATCTGTTGTATATGGTGTTGGATACTCATTGTGTTTTGGGTTGTATGTCTCTTCTCCTAGTGTATGAATAGAGGTATTGCATTAACTCAGGCTCGCTACCTGGAAAAAGAAGAAAAATTTCTCCCATCACCCAGGTTAGTAGATCCTCATCTTTCTATTCTATGTTAGACTTTTAAAAAATATCAATTTGTTTTGTATGCAAATAAACTATGGTCTGAGCAATAATCAACCACTATTGCTACTAGCTTTCTACTCAGCTCCAGTGGACTAGGGTGAATAGCTTACTGTAGTCTCCATCTTAACCTCTGGGTCAATTTATATTATTACAAATTGATCTACTGAATAGACAGGCTCTCTTGAAAGTTGGCTGGTTGTCATGTAGATTGGTATTGTATCATTCTCTAAGCCACGGTACAGTTACAGGTGTTACTTAAGATTGCTGTGATATAGATGCACTTCCTAGATATGAAAACATCCTGCTCATAATCCAATAAGCAAGTCAGAATTATAATTGTTATAATCCATATGTTTCGATTGATAAAAAGCAATACAGACATAGTTAGGGGAGACATAAACTAGGCATATAAGGCAGGATAGGAAGAAAATAAATGCATGTGAAATGTGCTGCTGGAGTAAAGTTCTAAGAGTACAGTGGTTTACTAAAAAGACAAATGAATGGGTCCTAGAACAAAACAAGCCTGACCTCTCCCTAGAAGCCAAGATGGCTAAACTGAGATTGCTGTATTTTGACATACCATGAGAAGACATGGTTCATTAAAAAGACAGTAATGCTTAGTAAGGTCAAGGAAAATAGGAAAAGAAAGAAGAACACATTACTGATGGATAGACTCAGTCAAGGAAGACATGTCCCTCAATCTGCAAGATCTACAATAAGCTGATTTGTGGGCCCACTAAATTATTACAATAAAAATAAAATATATCTTTTACTGTACCATATTTATAATATTTCTGACCATAGGAGTCATTCTTTTGTGACAGCACAACAAACAAAAGTCCAATTATGAGCAAGAAATCAAAAGGGCAGCCTTTCACGTGTTTGTATGAAACTTGTGTTTCATACTACTTCACATGATACTTGTTTTAAAAATCAATATAATAATAATAACAACTTTATTTATGGATTGCCCTATCTCCTCAAAGAGACTCAGGGCGGTTTCCAACGAATATGGCAAACAGTTTACAAGAGAAGGCATATTAGACAGTATATAACAACCAACTATAACTTAATAAACAAAATAGCAAAAAATCATAAAATACAAAAACCTGATAAAACACACTAAAAATAAAAAAATATAAAACTAATGTAGTGAGAATCAATGTTCACTCCATCAGACTATTTTAAAAAATAATGTGCTTAAAGACATATTGATAAAATAACTGAATTTCATCTACTTGAGAGACAAAGCAGAACATCAAACAGCATGTCATACAATGAAGCTGAACTCAGCTGCTCATAATCTAATACAAGCAGCCCCCAAGTTACAAACATTTGACTTACAAATGACACATACTTAAGAACAAGGGGGAGACAACAGGAAGTGACTTATTAGGGGCATAGACAGGAAAATAACCACAGGAAAGTTAAGCCCTCCCTATGTATCCAATACAGTAATACTGTGAAGAAATCAAAAGCTTGGCTGCAATATTCTGCACCAATTGAATTTTCAAATCGAAAGCTTCATAGACAATCTTGTATAGAGCATAGAATTGGAAAAGATCTCATGGGCCATCCAGTCTAATCCCCTGCCAAGAAGCAGGAAAATCACATTCAGAGCCTGTGTTTTAAAGCCTCCAAAGAAGGAGCACTACTTAAACTGTGGGTACCAACCCCAAATGGGCTCCCTTTAGCTCAGTGTTGGGGTTCCAAAAATTTGGCAACAGTAAAAGTTTTCTGAACATCTCCTAATGGCAGTTTTGGACATGAATCTGTTGTGTAGTGTTTACAACGAACTCTGCAGAAGATTCTTCATGAAAAGGTTAACCAGCCTGTGTAGCAAGCTTTGTTATCAGTAAATGTTTGGTTTTTATACCTATATTACAGATTTACATACCTGGGGTCACGTACAAATTTCTTGGGCCGAAAAGGGTTGCAAGTGGAAAACTTTAAGAAGCCCCAATATAGAGCATATTCCAGGTCTTATGTCTTTATTATAGGACACCAAAACAACCCTCACCAGCATATATATCAGGCATGGGAAACATTTGGCCCTCCCACAATTCCTAACAGCTGGTAAGTTGGCTGGGATTTCTGGGAGTTAAAGTCCCAACACACCTGGAGGGTCAAAGTTTGCTCGTGCCTGATATATATTGTAATAAGGTGTTACTTAGTATTGTGAATCCCTTTGGAGAGAGAAGATTATTACTCCTACTACTACTACTACTACTTGATCTTCTTTTTTTTCTTTTTTTTTCTTTTTTTTTCTTTCTTTCTTTTTTTTTTCTTTTTTTTTTTTTTTTTTTGCCCCTACCAGCATTCGAGTTGTAGTGACAGTAGAACAAACAGAAGAGGAACTGGACAAAGCTGCCTCACTGATCAGGGAAGCTGCCGAGTTTGTGCTGAACTGAGGCCTGCAGAGTTGGATGTTTGCTGCTCCTGTTTTCTACTGTGCAATAAGTTGGCTTGCACTCCAAAGGTTCTTCGGCATCATCGAATGGAACTGAGGCCTCCAATTCCCCTGAGTCATTCCAGAATTTAAAACAAAATCACAAATATGGAAATACTAAACACAGACTGTATGTACAGAACTCAGCTCTATTTTTATGCATTGTTTAAACTGGAGATCATTGTTACACTGGTATTTTACATTCTTTTTGCTTCCGTTCATCAAAGGGCCTTATTCCTTTCCATAGTTCTCTAAATGTGTATTATAAAACAAGCTATTTTTTGAAAGTTGATTGTATAATGCTAATGAGCATGAAAAAATATGAAAACTTAAAGAATATTCTTAATTTAACTTTTCTTAATGAAAATATTAAAAATATCTTTTCCACATACACAAAAGCTCCTGGTATCGTTGAGCTGGATAATTAAATGCTATTGTGGGATCCTTCTTTTGAATTATATACTTACATAACGTTTATTACACTGGGTATGTGGGAATTTATACACTAACTTTTTAAAAAGATAATTTCATTTTTGAAATTCTCAGAGGCAGTTCTTAAGTAGCTTGTCAAATTTACATCAAATGTCACATGGCACTGCCTCATACAATATAAATGGACCTTCTTTTGATTTGCCCATATGTTTAACTTTTGTACTGATGCCCGTATCACTAATGTTGTGCAGCTATGGAGCTTACAAGAGAGAGGTGGAGCTCTCATTAATTATTGGATTGAGCAGCACCAAATGCACACAGGGATTTCTGCACTGAAAAAGGGGGCAAAGTCAGCATGTGTGATTTGTCTGTACTAAAGCATACACATTGAACAAGTGTATGAATCTTGGGGCCTCATTACACTAGAGAATAAATCCATTTTAAATCTGGTTGCTACCTCCTGCGGAATTCTGGGGTTTGTCGTTTAGGGAGGAGCCTTTAAGAGCCTCACTAAACTACAAACCCCAAAATTCTGCAGGAGGCAGAAACTGGATTTTAAGTGGATTTATTGTCTACTGTGATGAAGTGGGGGCCCTTTTATAGTGCATAAATTGCTAAACAAGTTCATTTGGTCCTGATCTTTGTATTGTGCATATTTGCTTGACAGTATCTCCGAACATCTCAAATTGTAAATGATTATGTTTCATTTCAAGAAATCAAAAGGCTCCAAAATCCTGCTCGGAAAGCACTACTTTCTAATAGTCAAGATATACTGGTGGATACAGGTAAGCTGCAGCCGTTCATTTTACAGGAGTTACAATATGTCCGTTTTTTATCTTCTGTCCTTCTTCCAACCTTCAGAAAAACTTGGCATGTTGTGATTTATGTAATCTGAATTGTCCCAATGTTGTGCTCCAAATTTCTGTCATCGGCTGCTTTGAAGACATTCAATTATATCTTTGTTGTTTCTACACTCTTGTGCCTTTTTTTGGTTGCTGCTATGTGGACTCCAGTGCTATATTTGAGACTTATTATTTTTTAAATAAATATATATATTTGATCCAGTATTTGTGTCCTACTTATTTTATCATATTCTCCTTAACGTTGGATAGCAATTGCCTGTCTCTTCTGTGGTATCCACTCTCTCTCATTAAGTATGGAGTAATAGAAAGTAGGGCACCAGTGTAGTTTAAACAACTTTGGAGGCCAGAATTCAAATCCCTACTGGGTAACTTTGAACAAGATTGACTCTCCAACTACAGAGGAAGGCAAAAGCAAACAATCACTGAACAAATCTTGCCAAGAAAAATCCATGATAGGTTCTTCAGTGGGCCATGATAAGTCAGAAATGACATACCAAGAATAGAAATAAGGGCACTATCCAGTGCTTCAATTGGGGTGCGGACAACCAAAAGTTCATAGAATTTTGCTGTCTTCTTGTAATATCTCTTTTTCCAGGGGGCTCCCGCAAGGTAGTCTTCTCTCATTTTTAATCTCAACAAGGTACATTAGACTGGTTGTGACTGGCTGAAGATCATCTAGATTCATGGCCCGGTAGAAATTTCCTATCACTCTTCCCAATTTTGGTTGAACAGCAGTGGTGGTAATGATATGGAACATCCACTAATTATGTCATTGTTTCTGGGAGGCTTCTAGGAGGAAAACCGCTGCCAGCTGTATGTCTGCCACATGTCTTGGGTTAAGAAAGGCTGGTAGCACAGTAGCTTAAACCGCTGAGCTGCTGAACTTGCTGACCAAAAGGTTGGTGGTTTGAATCCGGGAATCGGGGTTAATCCCAGCTTCTGCCAACCTAGCAGTTTGAAAATATGCAAATGTGAGTAGATCAATAAGTACTGCTTCTGTGGGAAGGTAATGGCGCTTCATGCAGTCATGCTGGCCAAATGACCTTGGAGGTGTCTACAGACAACGCCGGCTCTTTGGCTTCGAAATGGAGATGAGCACCAACCCCCAGAGTTGGACACTATTAGACTTAATTTCAGGGAAAACCTTTACCTTTCCTTAAAGAAAAAGTAGGTGTCAGTCGGTGGGATGACAGCACCGAAAATGTAACTTTGCACATACAAAACCATCTTTTTTGCAATGTAGAAGCATTGTTAGTGAAGTAATAGTGTTTGGTAGTAGGTATCATGAAAAGAATTAATTAAGAACTGATATGATTTCCTTGCAAGAGTATTCCCCCCCCCTTTTGTATTATCCTGTCAAGAAGTGTCAGCTTGCTTTTGTTTACTTAACTTTTACACCATAGGTAAAACAATGTTTGACAATTCAATTCATGGCTGTAAACACAAAAAGTGTCGGAAAGCAAATTCTGCAATACACCATACCTTGCAAGGCATTACTTCCAGGTAGCCAAGAGCAGCTTTTAAAAAATCCCTCCAGTATTGTGAAAGTAGTCCTATGTATCCTGATGGCACCATACTTCATCTGATCTTGGAAGCTAAGCAGGGTGAGTCCTGGTTAGTATTTAGATGGGAGACTGTTAATGAGTATTAGTATAGTAGACTGTATTTTAGAGGAAAGAACTGGCAAAGCCACTTGTAAGAATTCTTTGCCTAAAAAGATCACAGTGTTATCATAAGTCAACAGGCAAGAAGGCACATACCTATTGTGAAAAGAGATAGGAGGACTACCTCTCAGGGCTCAGGGCTCCCAAATATTCTAAAGTCTAAAATAAGATCAGCATACAGCATTCACTTGCTGGTTCCCTGGAAAGAACATGGGTCTAAATCCAACTGCTAATCCTACCTAGATTAGACCTACAAAGTCAGTAAAATGTATGTAAGTGTTGCAGTACCATTCAGCAATTGATGCATTGCACCTATGTTATCTCAAGCTAACAGATTCTGCTTCTTTATGGTGCTATTTTTCTGCTTCTTTTTGTTGTTTTTCTTTCCTGGAATCTCACTCAAAGATAAAAGAGAAGATGAGGGGGATGGGTGAGTATGTTTTATGTCAAGGCACCTTCCTGCTCTGGAAGCCTGTGCACATTTAAATATCCAGAAGAAAATGTAGAGAAATTTTTGCAAAGTTGCACTGCTGTGACAGGTAGCTAATGGCAAGCTCCAATGTCATCACTAGCATTCCCAATCATTAGTCTCCTAAGCAAATGTGTGATTGAGTTTTATGTGTTCATGAATTCAATAAACTTGATTTTCTTTGGGTTGTTGTAGGTTTTTCGGGCTGTATGGCCATGTTCTAGAAGCATTAGCTCCTGACGTTTCGCCTGCATCTATGGCAGGATGTTTGCATAGATGCAGGCAAAACATCAGGAGAGAATGCTTCTAGAACATGGCCATACAGCCCGAAAAACCTACAACAACCCAGTGATTCTGGCCATGAAAGCCTTCAACAGTACATTGAATTACTTTGTTTTATTTGTTTGTTGAAGAAGAACAAGACAAAATAGATCTAGCACTCAAGGTGAATTATGGAGTTGAGCTAACCCTGTGACTGAAAAATCCTTTGTGGTCTCTAAAATATATTGTATTCTTATCCAGAGTTAGAGGAGCCCCCAGTGGCGCAATGGGTTAAACCCTTCTGCCGGCAGGGTTGAAGACTGACAGGTCAGAAGTTTGAATCCAGGGACAGTGGTTTGAGCTCCCTCTGCCAGCTCCAGCTCCCTATGCGGGGACATGAGAGAAGCCTCCCACAAGGATGGTCAAACATCCGACGTCCCCTGGGCAACATCCTTGCAGACAGCCAGTTCTTTCACATCAGAAGCGACTTGCAGTTTCTCAAGTTGCTCCTGATATGGAAAAAAAATCCAGAGTGAGAAGAAAAGGACAACCTTCCTCCTCCAACCCAACCCCCAGCTTCTGGGTAGAAGTATTTGGAAAATACTGCCATTGTAAGATATCCTTCCCTTTAATTATTTTCCAGCAGGCACTAGGGCAGAAAGTAAGTTTGTAGACAACAATGCCATAGGCAAACTGGCTGGTGCCAAAACAGTCCTTATTCAGGAAAATTAGATTATCTACTAGTATACAGTTACTCCTGTTTTCTTCCCACCTCAAAGGCTGAAAATTAAATCAGCAGAAACACTTGGAAAATAAATGGTGGATTTTAAGGCTGAAATCTGTAATTCTGATGCCTCTATGGAGTTTAAAAAACTGTAGCACACAATGAAACTGTTAAGTTGGAAGTGGAGGTTTGCCGGAAAAGCTTTGATTCCCCCACCCCTTTGTGCTTTTGAAATGTGATCTCGGTCACTGCAAAGAATGGTGAACTGTCTTCTTATTCTTCTTTTTGTCACCCCATCTGGCCTTTATTAGTTCCAAAAGGATTGTGGGGTGTTGGTTGGCAGTTACTGGTTACTGAAGTTTTGCTACTGCAAACCAAGTTTGTATCCTGTGATGATTCACAAAATGTATTGAAGCTGCAAATGCTCTTCCAGCTCAAGAAATATTTTGGGTTAACCCCAAGGATTTGTGTTTTTAAAAATTGTAGTACTCCGGTAAAAGAAAATGTCAGGAATGAGAAAGAGAGGCAGAGAAAGAAAATGTGTTTGCAGTAGGGAGGCAGTAGATGGAACTTATATTTTAAAATAACCAGCTTGTTCAACAACTTTCTGTTGTTATTTTGAATTTCTTAGATATGTTATTTACTTACTCAAGGCACCTATTGGGTGCTGGATTTGGTTGTAGAAGCCTAAGTTACAAAAGCATCTTACAATTATTTGCCAGATCCTACCTATTGTGTAATGGTATGTGATTTTATGCACAACTGACCAATTCTAATTCTCACAGATGTAAATCCAGTTTCAAAGATGTAAGATCCAAACGAGATACCAACAAATATATGGAAAACATAATAATACAAATGCTCCATAATACTAAATGAAAACCTTATGAGAGCAAATTATAGGGTGTATCAATTATCATTAGGCATTAAAAAAAATCAGCCAATCCCATTCTATCAAGCCACATGAACACAGAAACATCTTAACCTAGACTGAAAAGTTGAGAGCATCAACCGGCTAGGCTGAGGTTACTATGTTCTAGTCAGATCCAATCCTCAAGGCCCAGCATGCCCTGAAAAATAAAAGGTGGGGCAGAAATAATATTTAATATCTGAAAATATTAGAGATGCTTTATGAATAGATAAAGGGAATATAAACCTCCAAATATTTTTGATTCTCATCCCCTATCAGATCCAGACAACATGGACAATTGCCAGGATTTATGGAAGTTTAAAACATTTATGGAAAGGACCAGTTTGTCCATTCCCAGATAAATGGATCTTGAAACAGTCTGGATAACTCAGATACCCACTTACCTGGCAGCAAGCACCACCATACTCCATAGAGCTTACTTTTTAATAGAAATGTATAATAAGAGGAAAGAACCCTCAGGGTGTTTCTGGACACAGAGTTAGGAAACATTACCTCTTTGGACTAAAATTCTCATGATTTCTCAGCCATTATGGCAAGTGTCCATACTAGCTGTGACTTGATTGAAGTTACCGTCAACTCTTTATCACACAGGGTGGAAAAATCACAATTACAGCAGGAGAACATTTATTTATTTATTTATTTATTTATTTATTTATTTATTTATTGTAGTTATCCCCGCCCTTCTCACCCCCGAGGGGAGACTCAGGGTGGCTTACAAACTATGGCAATAATTCAATGCCAGATTCAGACAATAACAATATCAGTAAAAACCCAATATTATAAAACTGTAAAAATATGTATCGATTAAAATAGTCTTTCAAACGATTAAAACATATCAAAAGTCTAGCACCATCTGAGCTTTGTAAACATTGAACCAACTGCTTAATCCTCACCTTGAACTTATCACATGACATCGCTTCTTTCCCACCACTTTCCAGGTAGGATACCATTTGAAGTAGTTGTATATATAAAAAAGAAATGACTGATTAATTATTTGCAATAAATAAATAAATAATGTTTTCCGGGTTGTTTTCTACTGTGAGAGTGGTGAGAAAGGATAGTGTCATTTGATAGGTCCAAGGTAAAGATGTGGATATCCTGCTGTAATTCGATTTACTTACCTCCTTCGGATAAACTCTCAAATGAGGTATAT